TCACCAGCTTCCTGAGTGCTTGTGGCAGAGCAACGTTTCTGTCTCAAAGTCAGAACTATGAAGAAATAACCTTGGGAAAGGACTTTCGGTTCTCATATCTGTAACATTTTATATCCACTCTGTCTTAATTTAGATGCTTATGTTTATTTGTGGTTTCCATAAATGACAAACATTTCAGTTTGAGAACTTCTTTCATCATTTAGATATATCCAGTATTTTAAGGGGGGTGGAACTAGTACAATAGGGTATTTGATTTGATCATAATGTGCATTTTTTGGGAAGTCAGACATGTTATTGAGAACAGTAGCTACTTTTTCCCTAACTTGTGGATAAATAGTGCTTCTTGAGTGTTGTTTGTTTATCCCTGTGTGTGAAGTCTGTCCCTACTATAAAGCCTCTGCTCCAGCTTTTTTATTGATTCTTTCCCAAAAAAAACTTTCCCTATTATTTTTTGTTGTTGTTTTGACTGAATCAACAAAGCAGTGTTCTGTTCTCATTCATGATTTTTCTGCAGTATCAGGTGTTTGGCAGGGTTTTTTTCCCTGTTTTTTCTTCATATGACACTGACTACTCCTTCAGACTTCTTTGGGCTGACTCTTTTCTTCTCTTTCTCTTATCTTTCAGGCTCTTCTATCACACTTACTCTTCCGTGCTTTAGGAGTTAACGCATCTTTGAAAATAAACCCTAAATACTAGATCTCACCCTTTAGCTGTTGGTCTTATTTCTTCAGCTTTCCTTTCTCTCTTCACTCTAACTTGCTCTGTTGCATTCTATCCAAAAGGTTTTGGCTTTTTACCTTTCAGATGTTTCACATCACATCCTCTCACTTTCACCACAGATGAGTGCACTATCCTTTTCAGTGCCCCCAATTTTATATACTATCTCTTCTTTTTTTAGACATTGCATGTGTGACTTCCATCTCTTATTGCCAGATCTACATTTTTAGTTTCCAATCCAAACCTAAGTGCATGCCTGTTATCCTTTGCCTTGATACAACCTCATCCTGCCTCAGCCACCTTCTCCCCTTTTCCATTCTTTTCTTGCTCTGGATTGTCCCTGTAGCCATCACTGGCTGCAGTGGCTGTGAAGGATGCAGCTCCACAAGCCTCCCTGACACTCTGTAGGGTCTGACAGGCTGAGCACCTGCCCTGTCACAATGCATCAGCTCTTTGGTGTCCCTTAGGGTGACCATAGCTGAGAAGAATAACAAATAAATGGATTCTGTACAGACTTCCCCTTTCACATTTAATTATTAATCTAATAAATGGTAACAAAACAATAAAGCTCATGTATTTAAGCTACACTGTCATATAATACATGTGTCTGGGGAACTGACCTTCTTGGATACAGTGAGTATCTGGCCAGCAGCTGTTTTCTTCCAAATCGCTTTTTAAAAATATTTGCAAAAGTTTGTACTTGTGATTTCCTATTCTTCTGGCTTTAGAGGAATCATGAAGTTATTTCTCATACTAATGAGACAGACTGAACTCTTGTGTTCCTCATGGTATCTGACTATAGCTTTCACTGGCACCTTCACCACTAATCACATATCTGTATTTCACAGAACATTAGTTAAACTAAATATTAAACATAAGTCCCAGAGATTGCATTGTGAGTTTCTGGAGAGCATCCTATTATATTCTCTGAGCACTGCAGCCTTAAGATCTAATAAGCATCCCTCTTTGGACTACAAGGAACCCAAAGAAGTTGTTATCCTAATCTGTGTATGATCTTATTATATTTGACTTTCCGTAGCCACAATCAGCGCCCTGTCAAACATTCCCATAACAAAAGTACATTTGCAGAAAAATAAGCCAAGTAATTGACCTGACAGGATGAGCAACCACTTCCTTTTCAATAGATACTTTGTACACTTTAAGGCTATGGTGTGACTGTGTGAATGGAAAGTTCAAAACAAAACTTTAAATTCAAATTTATTTATTTATTTATTTTGTGTTCTTCCTAGATAATACATGATGATGGATGCAGAGGTAGCAATTCACTTAAGGCTTTGCTTGTATTGTAAAATGGATGCTCACAGTTTGGTAGACTGTAAACATTGCTGGGGATTCCAGGACATGAGGTGCACCTTTTTGCACCTTTTGGGTGCATTGAATAAATATCTTTCGTAAACACAAGCACTAAAAGAGAAATACTTCAGTATGTTAGAATTATTTTTTTTTTCCAACCTATGCTGTTAACATTTATTAACATTGGAAATATTGTCTTAGTTAATGTCTTTAAAAGTGATGATGCCATTTTAAATTACTGCTCTTTTCATAATTTTTGAAGTTATGGCTTTGTAATGTGTCACAAAACATACCTAAATAGTCTTTGAGCCTTTGCTCCTTTCCATCAGATAGGATATGGCATAATGCCTCACTTGGTTCCCTAAATGCTTTGCATGCTTGAGACTGGAGCCAGCTTTTAGACAACAAAGTGCTGGAACCTGACATGAAGGGTGAGATGTGTTCTGTAACCTGTGATTCTGTGAGCTATGTGTTCAATGGCCAGATTCAGTTTGAATGGGCCCAAGATTTCACCCTGAAACTCCAGTCCAGGGCTGCCACTGGGAAGCTGTGAAACACAGCTCTGACTTTCATGAGTAATTCTTTCTGAAGTGAATGCTGGCAGTGCCTGGGATAGAACTGCTCCCATAAGTAACGATTACTTATGCGGGATATAAAATCCTGCTTACACTGGAAAGATCTCATATGAGAGGGGTGAATACAGTGTGTTCCTACTGCTCCTGGTCTAAATCAGCCCCCTGCTCCAGAACTGTGGAGAGAGATGGAGTCAACATTGTCCTCATCTTTGTGTACCAATTTGGGAAACAGTTTGTACTTATTTATTCCTGTACCTGTGGATTTCAGTCTTGGATGAGGACATGATAGGAAAGGAGACTTGTGGCCCCCTTCACCTTTTAGTGAACTGGTTGCCTGTGGTTTGCAGTGTTGTGTCAGCAATATGCTCACATATAATATAGTAAAGTGACTGATTCTGTGACTGTTGTTTTACAACAGTTTCCCTTCCATCTCCCTCAGGAAACCAAAAAATAGTTGTATAACTTCTGCAAAAATACCAGGAATGGTTCTAACAACGTTCTGGAGCTTGATGTTGGCGCCAGTGATGTCACTACATCAGAAGGTGTTATAAATGAATAAATATAATGTGGCATCTTTTCAGCCTTCTAACTTGTATAAGAAAGATGTGGAAATGGACATCATTCAGCTTAACCTATGTGGGTGGCTTTGCATTCTGTTTACAAGCCCTACTTAAGCCTTATTCAATCCAATCCTGAGTGATCTTGAATTGCTTAAACTAGTTATTAATTCTTTTTTTTTTTTTTTTTTAATGTAGGGACCTCATTTTGGCATTAGTGTTTCTTTTTTTTCCCTTCCTTCTCAGTACACAAACAAGTATAAAAATGTAAGGGTACATGGAGTCATCAGGCAGCACACACATGGTTTCCTGTGCTCTCTGCAGGGCTTGCAGGTTCAAACACAACCTGCCTGAATCATAAGAACTTTAATTGAGTAGATAAAGAGGTCCTCATAATTATAAACTGCAGTAGGTATAACAAGAGGCTAAATACATAGCTGTGGTTTTAATTAGCTGGTGCTTCAAATTAGTAATTGTAGTTTCACTGAGAAATCAGTGACTTTATACACTGTTAAAGCCTCATCACTGTGCAGTTCATTCCTCATTATATCTCTCGGTGTGAAGCTTTCAATACAACATCATGCTGAGCTAAAAAGGCAAAAGTTGTAGATATTTGGTTATCTTCCAAGTGCAGTGGAGCTCTGTGGAGGTTTAATTCATTCGCACCAGAGATAGGAGAATTAACTGCTCATTGTTACAAGTGTAATATGTATGTTTGTATGCATTCGCACATAGGTGTGTGCATGTATGTCCAGAATCTGTTGGGAAAATACTGCTTCCAACAGATAACATCAGTGCATACACTGAATCAGCTATTCAAATTGTTGCCTGGAATTTGGTAGCTAATTATCTGACACAAAGCAGAGCCAAAAGCCTCAAATCAAATATAGGTTGGAAGCACAGAAGTGTCCCTTAATGCTTGTCACATGAGAAGCTGTCAGTGCAAATTGAAGCATGCATCTCTTCTTCTTTTCCTCTTTCCTCTCCTATTTTTCTCTCTCCATCAGGGTTTTAATTGTATCTTTTTCCTCAGAGGAGCAGGAGGTAGCTTGCAAAGCCAAGAGACTAAAGTACTTCAGAGCTATTCAAGGGAGAAGTGAATGTGGTCTCTCAGCTTGTCATCTATGTCTGGCATGTGCACAAAGCAAGCTGACATACAGATAAGTGCCACTCACCATTGCTACACTCAGGCACTAGATCCTCTTCTGTTTGTGTGTAGAATCATCTGATACTGGAGCCAACTATCCTAAAATCTCTTCCGGGACACTGCTTCAAAAAAGCTTTTAAAAAACCCCTTGACACCAACATTGAAGACGTACATAAATTTTAACAAGTACATGGGACAGAATTAGGTGGTCTAAATCATGTGAGGCTGAACTGTAACATTGGGTTGGATAGAGAAAAGTGTACCTGGTTAAATGGATTTGAAGATGATGCTGTGCTTCCTTGACTTCACCTTTGCTTTCTCTGCACAGACACATTCCTCATGGGTACATGTGCATGTGTTTGTGTATGTGCATGCACCTGTATTTTACAGACTGTTAATGCAAATGTGTAAAAATGTATTTTATTCTTCTGCATAATGCTCTGTTAATTTGAAAATAACATTTTTGTCTATTTTCACTTTAGAAGTGTACTGACTGTCCTACTGCCCAATGTCATATAGTATTTTGATTCCAAATTTACATTTGGGAAAATTCTTCAGTGGCTGCTTCCTTCTTTCAGAATTTTCTCAGGAGTTGCATTGTTTCTGATTTTTTGCTGCTCTTACTGATAGTAATGAACATGTAACTAAATTATGGGGAAAATAATGTGTTGCCTTTTTTCTCTTCTTCAGTCACTATGAGCAAGACCGGAGTGCACTTAAACGAAAAGAGTGGGAGAGAAGAAACCAGGAAGTCCAGCAAGATGAAGATCTCTTTGCTTCAGGTTTTAACCTTTTTGGGGAACCCTACAAGGTAAATGGCATTGTTATGCTTTGCATTTTCAGAATGGTTTTTACCGGAATGCATTTTACAGATGGAAATAAAGCTTCTCATCAAGTGTAAGAAAAGAAAGTATCGCATCTGACCTGGTACTTCTACTCTTGAATACACTGATTATCTAAATCAGCATATGGCAGCAGAACAGACGGAATGCTCTGCCCAGCACTGCATGCTAGCATTAGCAGAATCAGGAAATTTGGTTACAATCCAGTTCAAGATTTCTTCTTGTAAACACACAGCAAAGTGCTGAAATAGAAGTATGTGCAGCTGGTATCTCTACAAGTGGGTCACTACTTACAAAGCTAGCACTTAGGCCTTTTTAAGAAGAAAATACACCTGAGTTGTTAAAACCAATGTTCTCTCTATAGAAAATGAGTCCGTAAGTATTCTTATGCAATCATAACCATCCAAATAATTCTTCTGGGAGACTGAATCTTTGGGGACCATAACAAGGGTATGAAAGGGATTCATGACAAGTCTTATTCTCTCTAAGGAGCTTTGCTGCCTGAGATTTTCATCACCAAGGGATGTCTCCCTTTATGATTTCTGCTGCTTTGATTTTTAGGAAGACATTCCCTGAAGAATTCATCAGAATGTAAATTTCCATATCTGTTTCTCCTCCCAATCAGTGACATCTGTTGAAAGGCCACCACTTCACTTTTCCATTTTACATTGTTAGCAGCTGTAGGGAGGATGAGGGCTCTTTGAAAATTGCCTGAAAAGGAAGAGGAAATCCTGGCATTATTATCAAATGGTGTCTAATAATTATAGACTGGTAGAGTGTGGCAGATACACTTGACTCCTAGCTGTACTTGGGTTCAGGATGACTAAGGAGCAATAGATTCACAGCCTTGAGGTAAACTCACAAGCTGTAAAGCCCTTGGCTCACATACAAGGGAGTGAAAGTGTCTTGAAAAATATTTCAAAATGTGGTTTTGAAACCCAAAAGTATAAGCTAATTGAAGTACAGGACAAGATAGCAGAGCTAAAATGAAGACATCTCTCTTGTCTGTATTACTGACTAGCAGCCAATTACTTCACCCTATAAATATTCTTGTCAGAATGGGTCCAATTTGAGAGCTTCCTGAATTGCAGCTGGACTGCATGCCAGGTAAGTCTCACCTTGAGCAGAGATGCATCTCAAGGCTAGAGATTCCTTACCTGAGACTAAGAGATCCTTCCTCACCCAAGGTGTACAAGTCCTTTACCTGTGACAGATCCTTGGTAAGTGACTCATAACTTGCTGAATTAATACTATGAAACATAACTAATCCATGTAGCTATTCAATATTATTGTGAATATTGTATTAATAATTCCATTAGACATTGATTGACCAAATCTGAGACTAAGATTGGATTCAGTTGCACTTAAGCTCCAAAAGGAGTTTAGAAATCAAGGGGTTACACTCTGAACCTCATGACTTAATGGGAAGGTCTTCCTTACTCTTTGTGTCTCTGTTATTTGTGAATCATTCAAACTCGTTTCAAACTCAGTTTTTCTTTGTATGTTTCTTCCATGCAGTAATTAATAAGGTGAACTTTCCCATCAAACCTACTGAACCTTTTCAAACCACTGTTAAACTGTGTTAAATTCCATTACATTTATTGAACTTGGTAAAATTATTTTACTTCAGTAAAACATACTGCTGCTTTTCTCTTTTGAGTGAGGTGCATTCCACTCATCCATGACAAAGACTTATTCAACCAAGTAAAGACTGTGCACTAGGACAGTTTGTTTGTGGGGTTGTTTTTTTTTTCTTTTATACAAATTTAATTAATGCACTATGTCTGCACTGGGCCACATTTTAACACCTCTTATGGGAATGATAATTTAGTAGGAACTGATTTTGAGACTTCCTGCAGGTGGTGCAAATGTTTTTGTTCATATAAGTGGTCATTTGGATTTCGGTAGGTAGATCCATAAGCACATCACTGCAAAATTTTGTGACAGAAACTAAAAAATAAAAATAAAACATCCCCCCCACATCTATTTACCATACGAATTATAATACATGATTTTAGTGTGCATGTATTTGCACCAAGCATACACAGAGCATATGTTTTGTCAAAAACTGAACAATTAAAAAGGAAAAAAATTATCCTGATTATTTTCCTAAGCATTTTTTTAAATTGGTTTTCACCTGCTTGGCAGAGAAGTTTGTAAGATCTGTGAGACTGAGCAAACCAGAATATATTAGTATTCTAAAAAAATTGTCATTATACATTGTGAAAGATAGAAATTATGCAGAAATTGCATGAGGAAATAGTCTTAAATGTGCAAAACAAAGAGAACCAAGATTGAGTAGGAAATCTAGGTCTTGCCTACATTTTACACTGTGGGGAGCAAAAAAAAGATGAAATGATGGACTAATATTTTCTTTGGAAGTTCTGCATTGCGAAGAACCAGCCACAGTACAATTTTTTTAGGGGCTAACAAAAGCTGGGTCTAACTCTTAGTGGGTATCTAGTGACTTGTATTCTTAAGGAAATGAAAAACTAAATTCAGGGGTTTGTTCATGTTTATTTTAAAATAAAATGAAGGGGACAAATGTGCTGCACATTCAATTTGAATTTATTTTCCATTTTGAGATGAACAGATATTTCTGTGTGGATGAGACTCAAAGCCTGGTGCACACAACAAGCTGCACTCTTCTTGTATCTTCTGGTTGCTCTCAGTGTGAGCAGAATGAGATAAAACACTGCCCAGCAAAGTCAACTGCTGTGCACAAGGTCCACATCCTTAGTTGGACTAGCTCTTACTAATGAGCTGATGCTCAAGGGATGGCTGGTACGTTTCTGAAAGATCTGGGGATGTGAGGCAAGGTGGACATTACAGTGACAAAGAGAAGGTTGCAAAGGAGGTTGGAAGGTCTCAGGAAATAAAAAACCTAGTGTCCTTACTTCTCTATCATTCCTTCTTAATTTGCTTCAACAGTAACACAGACAAGGGACTGCTGGGGTAGGGAATATCACCCCTGCTGTTTTGATGTTTTAAAGAGTAACAGCTGGCAGCTGTTTCAAGATCACTCTAGAGTTGGGAATACTAAAACTTGGTCAAAGAAAGGAGCCCAGATTTTCTCATGGAGCTTTCTGACATTGTTTATCACGAGATACGTGGAGTATCAGCCTCCATCTTTCATCTCTGCTCTAGTTGTTAGGGAATCTTTCCTTCTGTCTCTCTGGCAAATAAAACTTAAGCGATCATTAGAATTTTGGACAAGTGAGTGTTTCTACATTGATTCGTTGTAGTATGTGTACGCATACATGAAAAGAGATTTATTTCTCTGTGTGTGTAAATTACATTTGTACATGCTTATTACAAGCTAAAAGTCTTGTTTTGAAGCTCTGCTGTCTCATCTGGGAAAACTACACTTTTGACAGCATTATTTTGAGAAGGTTGAGCAGCAAGGACTGTGTTGATGTTCAGTGCAAGTGGGATTGCAGCAGGTCTTGCCTTTGAACTCTGGTGTGACCTGCTAATGCTTGATTTTGCAGAAGTGATCAGAGAAAAGCCTGCAGTGTTATGACAACAGACATTTGAAAAAGCAATGTCAGAGTTTTCCTGAGAGAAGCTGCAATTTTACTACTGAATTGTTGATACCTTTTAATGTTCTGAATTAGTCAAGAGCTTCAGAGATTAGTATTTTAGAGAAAACAGTAGGAGTATTTTTTTGTTAGTTTTCAATGGAGTTGTCTCAGAAGAGTTGAACTGGAGAGAGAGAACCCAATGGGCAGCATTTCCATGGGGGAGTCTTTGATGAATGTTAAATCATTTATCTTTTTCAGATGAAGCCCTTCCATGCTATTCAAGCTTAGCATAAAAAAGATCTCGGCTTCTAATCCATGGATATTAGTTTAACTGTGAGCCATGGGAAAGTGAATGAATTATGAAACCTCAAGTTTCATACAAATTTTCACAAAACCCTTGTAAATTGGGCCTATAAGTTTGAGTGCATTAGTTCTTTTCTTTGTAAAACCATAATGCAATAGCCAGCTAGCAAATTAGTCTTCCAATAGGATTCTATTACAGATCTTTTTTGAAAGCAATTGAAGCAAATGTAGGAAGGTGTACATTTCCTAAATTAACAAGAGCCTAGAATGAGGGGGAAGGCTGCTAGCCATGAGTCACAAACCAGATGTATAATTTATGCCTTGGAATACTCAGAAAATGCTGCATTTCCTTGATAGTGGCAAAATTGTGATTCAACATGCTGTTCAGAAAATAATATGTACAGAGGTTTCCTTTGATAAATCAGCCTATTGTCCAGAATATGAAGGTAGAAATTGTCCTCAATCTGGAAGTAACAAAGAGCAGCCAGAAATTATGACTGGATTTTGTGTTTGCCTCGCTGGTATCCAGGCTTGTAAAGAATACTCTGCTTCTCACAAGAGCACTGAATTTGTCGAGGAATTAAAATCATTAATGTTATGCTTGATATCTTAAATTCAGGTAGTACACTGCACGACATACCTAAGCTCGTTCAGGTTGTGATGAACACATCTGGTCTTAGTTGTGTGCTTTAGTTTTATTTAAGCATAAGCCAAATAACCACTCACATTTACTGTTTTTTATTTTGCTTTAACATCTAGTCCAAAAGCCATTGAAAAGAATAATATTCCTTCCATTGACTTAAGTAACTATTGGATATGAGCTTCCGTACATATGCTAAGGATATTTAAATTAGTTTAATCTCTATGCTTTTCAGAAAATATATTTTTATTAATGGTCCCAGTAAATGGCCACAAATAATAACTAACATTTATACAGTGTCTTTTATCCCCATAATGTGAACATTCTGCATAAAAGAGAGTTAATATCAAGAAAAATTGTATTTATCATTATGTGACATATAAAAGAAAATAAGTTGAGAGAATCAGATACTTCCAACATAGAAATTGAAAAGCTCTACATTCATATTGAAATATTGATTAAGGATCTAGACAAGAGACATTTAATGTGCTGTGATGCTGAAGTGTTACAGTGATGACATTATTTTATTTTTTTTACTTCTGTTTCTGGAAAGTAAGTTAAATGCACCCTTGGAAGTGTATCTTGAACCAGAGTTGAAGCTTGGTGGTCAGGCTTTTTTCGATACTTGGTTGTTTCCCGTGCAGTATCCCATAAGGAGTTAAAGTGTTTGGAGAAGGAGGAAACAGAACAAGTATGTAAGTGTTTAGGCTT